ACTATAGCTACTTTTGCTTGAGCATGTAAGTCTGATTATAAAATCAAGCATCAATTAATTTTAAAAGTACATTTCATGAAAATGTTCAAAATCAGGTTCTCTACGCATCAATGTTTATTTTCGAATCAGACTGATGTCACATTCAGAAAAAAAAACATGAGAAAAATACAATATTGTTTCTATAATTTTGGTTAGATAAAAATCAACAGATCTTGATAATCATCTGTTTCCTATAGCCTGACAGCTCTATCAAGTAAATTTGATTTCACATTCAGAAAAAGAGCATCCCAATATATGTCTTCATATAATTTTTTTTCTTTTCGTATGAGAATTGAAATGGTCGGAATTTATCAAATAGCTCTATTCGAACAAGTGATTCTGTAATTTTAACAAGCACTGTATAGTGAGAGGAATGATTATTGATTACTTTCCAAACAGAATAATAATCAACATCTAGACACAAACGAAATCATTCGAAAAAAAAAATCACTGTTGTGGCAAAAAAAGTAGAGTACATGATTAAATAAATTATGCTTGATTAACTCTAGTTGACGAAATCATATATTGAAAAGGTATTTATTTGATTAAAATTATGTATACATAATAAAATGAAACAAATACAGTATTTTTTCATTATGTAACTATTTATTTATTAAATATGATGGTAGCTTGCACAATCGAAAAAATACATAAATTAAATCATATCGTTTCACCATTTTAAGCGAAAAGTAGATGCAAAAGAATCTAACACCGTAATGGGATAAAGAAAACGAGAAAAAAGAAGAGGACGGTCAACACCGACGTCTTTTTCTATCGTACATTTTATTCTAATTTTTCTGCTTCTGCAGAGTTACCATTGACTAAACCGTGTATATTTTATGTATCGTTGGTTGATTGAGGTATGTTTACTTCCTTTTTTCTTACCAACTTAGATTTTATTTATCGAATGTAATACCTATCTATGCATGGTATATTTTGTGTATAAATATTACAAGCATATATGTGAAGTATAATCTTTGAAGCTAAGCTACAATTATAAATTCATCAAAAACTATCTATGTTTCCTGATAACAATCCAAAGAGTCAATCAGAAAATGATGCTAGTAAACGAGTACTGTCTTGTACAAAAGTTTTCTTCAAACAACTGATTAGACGTAAACCAATGGAAATATTACAAGCTGAAATCGATACACGAAATGAATTGAGACGTGATCTAAATTGGATTCAATTACTTGCTATAGGTCTTGGTGCTATTATTGGTGAGTTAGTTTGAAAATAATACATGTCGTAAGAGTTTTAAATCATCTTTTCAGGTGCTGGAATATTTGTATTAAGTGGACAAGCAGCTGCAAAATATTCTGGTCCATCAATCATCATTTCATTTGTTATAACAGGCGTTATTACTTTATTATCATCTTTATCATATTCAGAACTAGGAGCAATGATGTCTAGTTCTGGTTCAGTTTACACATATACTTATGCAGGTCAGTTACTGATGACATACGTGTTTTGCTTTCATTAACACTTGCTTTTGTACTGTTTTAGCTTTGGGAGGTATACAATCAAAAGTATTCTTATAAGATATTCGTTTTTTTCTTATTCATTGTAGAATATTTAGCATGGTTTATTGGATGGAATTCCGCGCTACTTTATCTATTCGCCGCTTTGACAGTGATAGTTGCTTGGAGCAAGTATGTTGTCCTATTGATTGATATTTTATCTGATTATAATGTAACAAGCATGATTCTTCAAGCACCAGTAGCTTGGAACGAAGACACGGAACGTTTTTTTATCACTGGTCAAGTGATTAATATACCTGCTGTTGCAATTACTATTGTAATTACAATTCTTCTTATTATTCGAATTCGTCAAATGGCTATAGTCAATCTTGTATTGGTTGTGTTTAAAATTATTACAATTTTAATATTTATTTTCGCCTGTTGTAAATATGTAGATCGCAATAATTATTATCCATTTTTTCCACCAAATCAAGGTACATAATTGTCTGATTGATATATCTAAGAAATGAATGCATTTCATTGTGTAT